TAATGAGCCGATTCGTTGAGCGTAGCTTTAGCAACGTGATTAGGAACGAGATTTTGACGAGACCAAGGATTTGGTTGTATGTCGCGTTGTTAATGTAGCGCCACTGGTAACGTGATTGTTAGTACAACACGTAGCTACCCCACTGTTTGAGAGTAGTCGGACTTACGAGGGCAATTTGTTCCTTATTCATAGCATCTTTGGGGATGTCTTCTCGGTGGTAGCCAGCATAAGAGACCACAACCACTAGGAAATGTCAGTCAAAGAAAACCGTCACCCGGATCAGCGCTTACGTTTCCATAGTGTTCCAGTGAGGGCTAGCAAAAAGCACTCAGCAATAATAAGAAGTACGTCCTCTGAAATAGGTTTGGTTAGCAGTTACTTCACTTGACTCATGCGGAACGGTGCCATACCAATAGCCAACTGGCGCTCCTTGATCTTCTTCCATGTCCTGATAGCCACGATAGTGGCAGACACAACAAAAGGGAAAACTATAAGGAAAATGTTCAATGGTTGAAGTCCGGTTCCCGCCATGATGTTATGGTGATCAGAAAAAGATCAGGGAAAGTATGATAGGAGGTACGTTCGTTCCAACTACCTAGATATACGAATTGCATTACTTTTCACATGAATTAAACTTCGGCGCAAACCACGCTGGTGGGCTTGACACCTGTGATGGAGTTCACCACGCCGCATTCCTTTGAGTACTGCATGTGTATCCAGTAATTACATTGATCCCGTGTGGCGCCCCTGACTCGAGCAATTCAGGTAGTCTTCCGAATTCCCCGAGCCGTAGACGGCCCAAAGGTCCGTCCCTTCGACCCTTGTAGGAGTACTTGGAAGGATCATGTTCATGCGCAAAAATTACGCAAACAGCAGGTCAAATTCCGCATTTGACCTTAAGCACTGCAGATGCAGATCTTAAGCAATCCACTTATTGTCATCTGGTACCCCTCTTCCTTCTTGAATGGCTGAATAGGAGTACTGTATATACGAGTACATCGGTGGTGCTGGACATGTGTGGCGACTCTCGGTAAGTGGAGTGCTTCATTGAACCACCTGCATGGTACCTAGGTAACCTTGGCAGTCATATACGACGTTGTTTCCACCAATAGGCTAGTATCGTAGGATTTTAGGATGTGACGAGTCCGTGGACAAGCAGGTGTGCGGTCGAGGGTCTTTTGCCAAGCGCTTGGCGCGTCGGTTGAGAAGTAAGGGAGGCCGTTAAGGGAAGATGCGACATGGCAAGGGATTGTTGAACGTGCCGACCGTGCCGCTAGGCTCTGGCGCCCGCGGCATCCATGCATCCGCCGCCCCTCTCAATGGCGGCCACCTGCGACTCTATGTGCAACCCATCTCACGCTTGTTTTACTCTACACATAACCTTTTAGTCCACGTTCCACTAGATGCTACTTAGCTACGATAGTAATGTCGACAGTTACATTTTCGTAGGAATCAAATCTTTGGTCTGGATTCTGCGTGGCGACAAGAATTCTTGCAATAAGCACCGCGCCGCAATCACACATGTGAACACGCCAGAGACGCATCTACCTAGGTATCCTTCCTATGCCAAGCCACCTATGCCGTTTCTAAACGGACGAATATGCCACTGGATCTGCATGCACAGCTCGCTCAAGTAGTACAATCGGCATTCTATAGCGGCTTGCAGATGTTGTGCTGCCTGCTGCTCCTTGCTGCCGGTGTAAGGGCTGGGAAGTTTCTATTGGCTTGCAACTGCCGTGAGGCTGCTCCAAGCCTTTGCGATTTGGAGCATGGACAGAGCCAAATCTACCCCAGTCCAGATCAAGACCACGTTCTACCCACAGGCCCATCCATTTATCCCGGCTTCTATATGCAGTCCCTGCGTAATCTACCTGCGTCCCTTCGCTGTTATGTCCCCGTTTGACACTCACTGGTTGACTCCACAGTGTGTGGCAACATCCAGAGCGCTCACACATGAATCATGGAGCTCAGTCGCGTGGGAGAAACTGAAAGAACATTTACCGAACGGTTAAAGATAAAAGATAAAATGGGAAGGCATCCTTTTGCTGCTTCTTCCCTACATCCACCTCGTATTCACCTCTTGGCTTTCACCATGGCGTCTATGCAGCGGGTAACCACGTGCTTTCTCATGCTCATTTCCCCGGCGGCTATCCTTGGCCAATCTTCTCCTCTTCCTGATGTCGAACCTGCAGCTACCTTCGTTCCAGCCGCTTCACCAGCAGGGGCACCACTTCAAGAATCCGAAAGACTGCAATTGACTGACGCAGTCATCGAGCGTCTAACGACCGATGAGGGGGTTTCGAAGTATGTCGAGTACTTCGCATTCGATGACAGCACCGCTGCTAGTGATGTGCGTGTACGACGTGCAGCCTCTGCATCTTGCAAGACGTTTCCTGGTGACTCTGAGTGGCCCCAGGAAACCGTCTGGGACATTTTCAATGTGCTTTTAGGCGGCGCACTCATTCCGACCAAGCCCATCGCTGCTCCGTGCTACGATACACAATGGGGCAAGAAAGACAGTGCAAAGTGCACGGATATCGCCAATAATTTTACGAATCCGCTATTCCATGAGGCTGATCCGACGTCAAGTATGCGATTACTTCCGTAAGCGTATGCAGACTATTTGCTGACGTCGTGATTCTAGACATGTGGCCTATCTTTCAGGGTAGGACCTGTATGCCCAAAAACGACACTGACGGCAAGTCATGTACTCTTGGCGGATATCCCGAGTACGCGGTCAAAGTCACCAACGTGGCGCAGATCCAGCTTGCCATCAACTTCGCAAGGGCGACTAATCTTCGCCTGGTCATCAAGAACACTGGTCATTGCTACCTGGGAAAGTCCACTGGAGCTGGAGCATTGAGCTTGTGGATGCATAACATGGAACAAATTGACTTTCTCCCGAACTACGAAGGCCCAGGCTATTCAGGACCGGCGTTGAAGCTCGCCGCTGGGGTTAGAGTCAGGCAGGTATACGAAGCTGCGGACAAGCATGGTGTCACTGTCCTTGGTGCCATCTCCTGGGTAAGCATTCCTTGGTCTATCATTCTTATAAAAATAACTCACATTCACTAGAGCGTTGGATATGCTGGTGGTATGATCACGGGCGGAGGGCAAAATCCTCTTGCTGGTGTTTACGGTATGTCGGCCGATCACGTTGTCGCCTTCCAGATCGTAACGGCCGCCGGTCGTTTCATCACAGTATCGGAAGACTCCAATCCTGACTTATTCTGGGCACTCCGAGGCGGCGGTGGTGGTACCTTTGGTGTCGTGGTGTCGGTCATCATCCGTGCACATCCTAAGATCAACGTCGTCACTGCTGGCTGGCAAATCGATGCTGCGAACAACAGCCTTGAGGACTTCTGGAAGGGCACCAAGAAGTTCTTTGATGTCTTCCTTGACTGGGCAGAGTCAGGCATGTACAGCTTCTTCATCATGGGAAATGAGCCCAAGCCGTTCCTCAACATGCGCTTCCTTTTTGCTGCGAACCATACGGCGGAGTCGTACGACAAGACCGTCAAACCTTTCTTCGACTACCTCGAAGAGAACAATATCACGCTTACGACCCCCCATAAGCGAGTGGCTCATACCACCTTCTACTCTGCCTATCAAGCGACTTGGGGTGGTAACTCATTCCCCATCGGCTTGGACAACTCAATGTCAGCGAATCGCATCGTTCCTCGACGCAACTTCCAAGAGAAGTACGACCAGACCTTTGCGCTAATCAAGGAACATGTCTCTTCTGGAAAACATCTTCTTGGCTACCACAAGGCGCCCAAGGAGTACGCAAACACCAACAATGCTGCCAACCCAGCGTGGCGCGAATGTGCCTTGTTCTTGATCACCTCTTCGAACAAGAAAATGGATCACTCTACACCAGAAGCTCTCGGTCTTGCAAACAAGGACCTCCAAGAGAACATCCTACAGCCTTGGCGCGATATTACGCCCGTTTCAGAAGGTGGTGGTGTTTATTTGAATGAAGCCACCGTTGGAGAACCGGACTGGCAAGAGTCATTCTACGGTGGGTATTACCCAAGATTGAGCGAGATCAAGAAGAAGTGGGACCCGACCGATGTCTTCTACGCGACCACTGCCGTTGGAAGTGAGAGGTGGGTGGTTCAAGACGGAGAACAGGGTGTTCAGACTCAAAACGGAAGATTGTGCCGGGCCTGAGGGAAGCGAACTGCAGGCAAACCTATCGTAGCTACATCATATAGGCCAATCATTAGACATAGTAGCTCGAAGCGTCCCTCCTCATCTTATACATGATGCGCTGAAATGTGACTATGGAGCTATGACACTATTCCTAGAGTGACACCAACATGCATGCACTGGTCCATACTCGCACGGCGTCATCACTCTCGGGTGGTGACATGAACAGACAGCATTGAAGATGAAACCGCACTGAGAAAGTAACTACTCAACGGCTGCTCGTCTCCCTATTCTTTGTCGGAATTTCGTTTGCGATATCCTTGTGACGACGACTTGAAAGTACGGTCCTGGCCACAGTGATTTTGAGTACTCCTCCTACATATTGAGGAGTACCTGAGTAGGGAGTTGGCGACAATGAAAACTCGCAAAAGCCACCCATACTGGGTCCTTCTACCCCCAAGATACAACGCGCGATAGGGCCACCTGCTTAAGCTGTAGACCACTTTGTAACTCCGATTAACATCGCGTTTGTTGCAATAAGATATTCATTTGGTCTTGCAAACCTTCACAAAGAATCCATGTTCATCACGGCATGTGTGGACACATCGGTGCCTCGCTCCGTCCACATTGGTTGAATTTTGCGCGTCGTCCTCATCCCTTCGCCACCAATATACCTCTATCATATAACGCCGTGACGATACTCACGCCTCTGCCCACGTCGCGAGCGAGCGTAGTACTGCTGCAGAATTCGTCTCCGTCATTCTTATACAAGGTCTTCAGTCCTTCCTCTTCGCTCCACTCTCCCACCCAACTAGGCGCCGTACACTCGCAAGGTCCTTTCTCCTCATCTAGTCCTTGCATGTTGCAATTTGCTCTCGCTTTGCTCACAGCTGTGAGTGCTGGGGCAAAAGGGTGGCCTGCCAAAAGAAGCTTGCCAGAAGAATCGACAAAAAGGTTGTCGACCGTCGAAGGCGCACGAATATATTTTCTGAAATACAGACTGATCGTGTCAGGGTAGAAGCTGTAGATGTTTACGCCCATTTTGGAAGACGAGGCAACGGCAACAGTCGTCGAGTTGAGCATGGCAATGCCGTTGGCGAAGGGGACGTGCGTCAACGTCTTGGTGTGCTGCAGGTTGTGGATATCAGTATAGACGACACTACCTCCAGGAATGCCAGAAAATGTTTCGACCTGTGATATGAACGGTGAGACCAATGCGCCGATGTAGTGGTCATTGGTAACTAGTAGCTTCCCATCTCCTAGAGAGTGTATGGAATTCGGCGTATGGATCAACGGATGTTTCAGTGTCTGCAAATATCTGGCTACCGCATTCTGGACGGAGACTTGGAACACTTCGATGAGATTTCCAGAGGTACGGGAATGGTTGACGACATATAGCGTAGAAGTCGCGGCATCAAATTCGATGCCCAGAGGCTGAAAATCCGCCGCGTTGTTATAGTCAGTCAGAACGAGAGGCTTCAAAGCGTCTGAGTCCAGAATGTTGGGCGTTGAATAGTCGTAGATCCAGATATGTGGGCTATCGGTGCCATCTCTTTTATCCAAAGGTGACGCAAAGGCGCCCTGCATATGTAAGCCCTCGTCGCGTTGAAACTCTTTTGCTCTTAGGGGCAAATCCAAAGGGCGGCTACGCACCATTACCGTGTTCCACTGATCCCTCTCCGGATTGCAGCTCAAGAACGCAATACCCATCTCCTCTTCCACCAGTACATCCTCGCAATTGCGAAGCCGATCGCGGAACTTGACTTCGTGACTCTTGAAGTGGTTGATATTTTCAAAGTTCCCTGGTCTGTTTGCGAATATCGTGGAGAACGCGAGATAGCGGTCGTATACCCACGGCGCGACGATGGCGATTGCTGCGATAAGCAGCTGCGTCACGGGTCAGTCACCAATCGTCAATCACCCTCGGACCGCTGTGTTTCAGACCAACTTACGATAGATCGTGTCGCCATGTCTACAGGAGCGCGTCCTAGCCCGGCGAGTACTGTTGATGTAGTAAAGATGGCCGGCACGGTCGGGCACGAAGTTCATTGTGCTAACAAGTCGCCTTGACCCCACCAGAAGAGGGGACAGCCATCCTCGTTTGCGTAAAATTCGTCAGCGGCTCTCCAAGGTTTGAGTAGTAAGCATGTTAGTGTTTCCTGCTGTACTAGGTGTCTGTTAGAGTTTTAAGTAGTAATGTTTAGTATATATTCTATAGAAGTAAAAGTAGTAGAACTATAAGTATAAATTTTATAATACTATAGTTACTTATTTCTAAAAGTAAAAATTTTATATATATACTTAGTTTCTTTTTATTACTATAAAATCTTTACTATTATTATTATATTTACTATAGTATTTTTTACTACTCTTACTAACTTTAATAACTTTAGTACTAATAAGTATAAAAATATTACTATATAAAAATTAGACTTTAGCTTATACTTTAAGTAATAGCTCTAACTTATATATACTAAAATTATTAGCTTAGTAAATATATAAGTATATATTTAATATAAAAAACTAATTATTATAATTAGTATTAAGCTTAAAGTTACTTATATTTTAAGTAAATTATAGTTAATATACTTAAGTAATATTAAATTTTTTATACTTAAAGAAATTACTATACTTAAAGCTTTTTATAAAAAAAACTATTATTATACTTAAAACTAAAGCTATATTTTTTATACTTAATACTTAGTTATAGTTACTTATAAGTTTAAAAAATAAAGTTTATAACTTTTAGAATTACTAAGTACTTAGATTATAAGCTTAAAAAGAAAGCTAACTAGTAAAAAATAAATAAAAGTATAAAATATATAGAGAATTTAGTAAATTATACTATAAAAACTAGATAAATTAATTAGTATATCTTAATACTTAATACCTCTAAAATAATACTAGACACTAGAGGTTTTCTGCTGTATTAGACTGTTAGCAGCTTAGGCGTTGTCGGGGAAGGCGCGACTGCACAGATGCCGAGGCGGAGCAACAACCTGACGTCATGACCTTTGAGTGAGTATCTCCAATCCCATTGACACACATTGAATGCACAAGACCCCCATATAGCGAGGTAGCGTGTGGCTTTACACCTGAACGTATGTTTTCTAGCTAGGCTGTTGTTGTTACTACTGCAGCACGACTACCTGGGAAGTTTGACCCGACTCGGCAAGGACAGGAATAAGCTCGGGCAAAGTCAACACTGATACAAGTTTAACTGTCGCCCCCAGAGAAGTCGGTTTGTGAGCTATCCAGCTTTACAGACGCGCCTGGACATCTCCCGGGATTGGTGCAGGTGTGCACGGGTCTTATGTCTAGGAAACTCTACACTAAAGTCTAGTAGTCTCTCTAGATTCGGGAAGGGTTAGGACTGCTCCTAGGTAATTCTTCGACTATCTAGTAATAACTACAAAGCATGTGTGTAGGTACAGTCGTGCTGTGGGTAGTTTGCTGGATATCCAGATCTTTTCTAGTGTCATTCGTTGAACAGTAAGGCCGTGGGCCATAGTGACGAGAGGTGCATCCTCTTCGAACTACCGACTGTAGCGAGAGTCCTTGAGTGCATGATATATACGTGCTCGTACAAATATTCGCCTCTCATCATATACTCGTTGTAATAGTGACATGTTGCATCTGATGAGAGAAGATGCACGGACTGCCGTGAGATCTTTTCTGCGCACTCTATGTGCTCGCTAGTGTTCCAGGTACATGGCGCGCATCCGCAAGAGTATCAGTGTACCTCAATCTGACATACTGTAGCTACGTTGTGGGCAAGTACTCGTACCCAAGGCATGTAGAATAACCTCTTCCGTCTCTACAAGTTCAGATATGCGAATCATCCGAACGGTTCCTCCGGTACGTCCGTAACCTGCAGATGCCGAACGATCAGTATATGTCATGCTCGGTATGGACGAGGTAGTTTAGGCTCAATGGATTGGCCATGGGGTGATTCTGGATCTTAACACACCGTCCTTTCCGAGACTCTGGCATGATCTCCGATGCGATCGCCGTGCATTCAAGTCGTTGGCTAGGTCTCGTGTGCAACTCAGACCCAAATGTGTATCGGCTTAAAAATCTTCATGTTGAAAGATGGCGACTGCACACAGCGGTGTGATATACGCCTTTGATAATGTGGAGAGCCGGAACGTGAGCACTAACACTGCCGCTTGACAGTGGCCGAAAGCTGACGTTCGAGAACGGCAAGGAACAGGTAGTCACTCCATGCGGCGTGTGCCTACGGAATAGGTAAGTGCATAGGGGGGCGGGGTCACTTGTAGGGTGCAAACAGATTGTTCTCGGTATCATATACGTGCGCCGTTTGCCAACATAGCCATCGATGTTGGTTTGCTGACAAGACGATATTGAGCAGTCTTGGTAAAGGCACAGGACGCCGGACAGGAAGGTTGCTGGGTAACGGACAAGTTCTTCGCTAGTCCTACACACCTGCCCTCAAACGTCGGGACGTGAGAAGACGACCGGCCACGCGCGCTGAATGAGGCCAGCGAGCGGGCGTGTGGTCCAATGTGAACATCGACTCACGCTCTGTAGCTGACCGAGACACGAAAGATGTTAAGGAACGGAGCCGATAGGGGCGTGGCTCGCAGTGGCTTATTGGCTTGGCGACACTGTTTAGAGTGTTGGGTGCCGTGACGGCGAGACAGTTGCAGCGACTTCCAGGCTATACCTCCGGCACTAACGCACTGCGCAACGAGTCCACCTCCATGTTCAACAGGACAACACAATCTACATCATCATCCGCGCCATGGAGGGGCAACGCAACTTCCAACGCTTGCCAGAAAGTTACGTTGACAGCGCTGCTCCTCGCGACATGCCCTGTAGCGGCTGCATTCTGGCGCTGTAGTGTGAGCCTTGTTGCCGCGCAGGGGGCAGGCTTTGGCGAAGGCGTTGGGGACCGCGCCGCCAGAGACAACCGCGTCCCGTTTTTTCTGGCCAGAACGTCGCTCGATTTGGCTGCGTTTTATTGCATTGTACAAACCAGTGCATATCCAGCCTATCATAGTCATTCCGCTCACAGACCGTGATTCGGTCGAAAGCTTCTATTACCCGAATCGCGTGCCAGTCATCAGCCGAAGAAACGAGTTTTGCTTGCACGGGGCCGTCGTGGCTTGTTAGCTGCTAGCAGGCCAGGCATGGGCGCCGGTGGCTTGAAGGATTCGCTGCTTGCATGGCAATCATCATAAGGGCCGGCCGCTCCTCATGCTTGGACACGTTCTGGCTGCTAAATAAATCGACGAAAGGCTGTTCGTGCCGTTCTTCTGGCTGCGATCGACATTGATAAGCAAGTCCCCCCAGCTGGCCGTCACTCTTTGCCTTTTCCTAGTCACCACCGTTACCCTACCCCTGACGGCCCGCAAAAAGCCCTCGGACACTTGCTGAACCACTGCAAGGTACCCGAATCTGAGGTTGGACGAAGTACCTAGGCAGTCATTGACAGTGGCGGCAAACCTCCTTGTCACAGCAACGGTACCTACGTACGGCCATGGGTATCCGGATTCCGAGGAAATTCTGCGGTTAATAATAGCATCCTCGACTGCTATAGTACCGTTTATTGGAGATGAGTCCTCAATGTTTCGAATGCGAGTCGGTAGCGATCCTGTCGCACCATGCTCCCCTGCCAACGCGGAGGAGGCAACACGAAAACCGCTGCCGCGGTGTCCCCTTATATCTTCGAGTGTCACCACGCATCGGCCGACAGTTTCGCGCGCTGCTTCTGCTGCTCGTCATATCTCTATCCTGCAGTTCCCAGGCTGCCCCCGTATCCGCAACGGAAGCCTATGGTGATCGACCGGCCCTGCTCGTCGAAGACGACCTTGCCTGGACAGGATCGGCGTTATACCTGGATCTCAGCCCACCACCCACCGCGTCGCGATTGATGCCTCCTCTAAAACGCGACGACGATGTTACCCGCACACCCTCTGCAACTCTTTCGGAACGCGCCATTACAACAGACTCTGATGGCTCTGGCACCGGATTCAAAGTCCCCACGGCATTCGATACTGGCCTATCAAATAATTTCACAAACTCATGCGCAAACTTCCTTAATCGCCTACGTCAGAGTCAGGTATTCAACGACTGCCACCCATTCTCCTTGCTATTGCAGGTATGGTACTTCAATAATACGAGAGAGAAGAGTGTGGCTAATCAGTACCATGCAGACGTCAAGCGGTTTCTTCGACGCCTCCAAATCTACACTACGCATCACACAGACTCTCGATGCAACCTGTGGAGTAAACGCAGCACAATGCAAACCTACCCTGGATAATTTCGCAGTGGAGCTGCTATCGGAAATGGCATGCAAAGCCGATTACGACACCGACAATCCCCTGGTGCTACAGGCTTACAATGGCCTCGTTGCATACCAACCGTCTTACCAAGCAAGCTGTTTGCATGATGACGAGGGAAATTATTGCTTTGCGAACGCCGTCAGCAACATGTCATCACCGGGAGATGCCTACCCATACTACCTACCCATTGGCCAAGAACTTCCCGGCGGATCAAGGCCAACCTGCAACTCGTGTTTGCAACAAGCAATGGGTGTATTTGCCACTTACAGCAACAACGCCACACAACCTCTTTCAAAAACCTATACCTCGGCCGCTCAGCAAATATCAATAGCATGCGGCTCGACGTTTGTCAACGTCACGGCCGCCCCACTCAAAGGGGCTGCATCGACGACGACCAGCACCACAATCACACCCACGATAAGCTTGATCTTAATGTTTTTACTTTACTTCTTCCAGTGATGGAGCGATACCCTATAAATTCTATACTTGTAAATACTTTACCTTAGTTATTATTGATATCAGGATCGACTGGTCATTAGCGACGGCGCTTGGGAGGATTCTTTTTTGGCCGTCTTGGATTGTTGCAAACCTGGCGGGATAGTCATGGGGTCCTCTGGCCCATAACGTTGGCTTTTGCCGCGATCCGGCCTGTCGAGGCACGACGAGACACTTGGACGTGTACACAGTTCGCCATGAGTGAGGCGTCTTTTCTGTACACCAATAACATTGCACAGACTGTGA